AAAGAGTTAGGAACAGGCTGCAGAAATCCCCAGGCTATAAATTTACAAGGCCAAATGTCCCAATTGCTTATATGGGTGCAACTCAACTGAATGGAATGTAGTTGAACAATTTAAGCTTTCTGTGAGTCTGGCCTATGAAGCAATTCTTGCAATGTTTCATATTGGCTATGCATTACTATTCCTATTTGGCAAATAAAGATAAATCACAATTAATAGGGAACACACAGATACTTTACTTCAAATTAAAGAAAAATGCAAAGGTTGAAAATGTGTAAATTTTCAAATAGAATTTTTTTTTTTTTTTGCTAGAAGGAAATCTATTTGAAGAGTGAAAGGGAGGCAAGTATTACAAAGGACAGGAATACTGCTTATTTTACTGAAACATAAAAATGTCAACAACTGAGCCACAAATAGCTCTGAATGATTAAGTTGCCAGATACCCACGCACATATGACACTAATGAAACATGAAAAGTGACTGATTTCATTAGAATGCACATATGTTATTCCACACTAAATATTGCAAAAATGGAGTTGTGTGCCAGCTCACCAAAGACCACTAAAGTACACAAAAGCAATACATTCTATCATGTTATACATGAAGCAAATTTTCTTTGATAAAGTGCAACTCAACTATAGTCTTTTTCTCATTTGGTCAATACTGTACCGGTCATAACATTTGCCATGCAGCAGTGACTTTGCATATGTGTCCAATGATGTCACTGGATCCTCTTCCCTGTATCCTTGCTCGCTTTCATCCAAAGTTACAAAGAAAGCTGCTTTTTCAACTGCATCCAAGGAATGCTTGTTCTTTCCCCGTCCAAAATAGGCTTGACGAGCTTTAGCCCACGGTATTCTGCAGCAGGAAATAAAGTTTAGTTATATTATGCAAGATGCTCAGTTTTCTAGAAATATTAAGATGCTAGTGTGCTCTGAAAGGCAATCTACATTTTTAAGAAATTTGAAAATCCTTTGGCTTTCCTTCTGTGTCTCATGCATTTATTCTATTAGGGAAAGTATGTGATGCTGCTACAGATACTTCTGCATCAGATTTCTGTAAAACTTTACAGAATTATGAGCATCAGAAACCAACTGAAACAGTACACAGCTATTACACAGGTATATTATATATGTTGTATATTGGAGATACCTTCTGAATTTACAACCTGAAATGTGCAAATGTATTGCTGCAAGCCAGAGAATACAATTTTTACCAAAAGGAAATACATTATGGAACCAATGCATATCTGCTCATATATTCTGGTGATGGGCACCAACATAAGAATTTGGAGATGCATATAATCAGTGCAAAATTAGGCTAACGGAATGATTATATCTGAGAATTTCTCTGAGAACTGAAACAAATATTTGAATACTTCAAGTTTGAGTCCAACAACTGTAACTCAGTCTTTGGGTACACAGAATGCTGCATTTTTTAAGTTAGATTTTAATATGAACAAATCCATATACAAGTATTGTAAAACAGGACTATATGCTGACAAAAGAAAGTTTATGTATTGTAATTTCTACTAAATTCTACAATCAAACTCTCATTACATTATTTCAAAAGCACTCCTTAATGGAAAAGTTAGACAGAGTCTGCTTTCTACATTACATAACCATAAATCAGGAGCAACACTACTGAAGTCATAGTGGTATTTTGGAGTTACATTAGTGTAACAAGGCAGAATCCAACCAAATGTCTTAGCCTTAAAATTTGGTTGAAGACCCTGAAGCACTTTACATAAACATGCACAAGTAACTGTACACGCTTAGTGTGCTTCCAATTACTGATTTCATTATGATCTGCATAAATAAAAGTGAGTAGACTTCTCAACTTCAGACTGAAGGAAGGAGCCATGAAGTAACATCTACCTCCAACAGGAAATACTCAAACAGTGATTTCATGTTATAATGCTATGCGACATTAAAAAGCAGTAAGGATTAAGAGTTCAAAATTGTCATGACCCAAAAGGCATGATTGTGTGCGCGCTTCGGCACCAGAATTATCCCCGCCAAGTTGCAGAGCATTGCACGGGAGAGTTTCCTGTAGCAAGAGGAAACCCCGGTGCAGGGACGAGTTTCCCGCCTTTTCTGCAGCTTCTTTTGCAGGGTGCAATGCTCATGTTGCAAGACGAATGCACGGTGCAAAGGAGTTCCTGCCACTGGTATGTAAATTCGTTCCCCGTGATTGGCTAGTGCTAAATTATTCACACGTGGCGGCTAACGATTGGCTTGTTAGCCGTATAAGAGGCTTGAGCGGTTTCCACCCAAGCCGAAGAGGACTCCACATCCATCTCGTGGGGACTCTGGGTACACGGCAGGGTAATAGAAACCCTGTGTGAGATCCAGAGGAGCGTGGCGGCCTGATCCACCGCCCACCTCTTCCCGTCTTCGAGCGCGACTTTTATAAGACGTATTTACGATTTCTATTTTGGTGGCTCGTTCACCCAGAGCATCCGGAGCTCTGCACCGTGGAGCCTAGCAACCTCCACGAGACCATCAGTGTTGTCTGTCTGTAACTGCAACTCAAGCAAGTTTTCCAGCCTACACCACTGCCATCTCGGTGTAAGTAAACAATCTTTAAAACTACCAATATGCGTTTGTGCCTAATTCCAGCTCGACGGCCTTCCCTCTCCGACCCGGCGTGCCTGGGCTGCTGGCCACAGCCCGCGTGCAGCACGGAAAAGGGCTCGGGTTGTTCCCGGCCCGCACAAAAATATGCTGCTACGTGTATATAAAACTGCCTTCCAAAGTTAGAATTAACTTTTTAAAATTAATACCTATCTCCTGCAGTAAGAGCTGCTAATTTCTCTTCTCCAGGAAGCGACTTTGAACTGTCATCTAGAATTCTTTGCATCTGCTGCTCAATTTCTCGAGGTTTCAACAGTCTGCCATCATGGTACACCCAGACTTTGAAGTAACGTCCTTTATGATACACAACAATGTGTTTGCTATCCTTCACATGCTGGAGAGTGTCTAGAATTGTAAATAAGCATGAAAAATCTTTGGTCATGTGGCATTAGGATATAAGCAAAGCTTAAGTGAATGCTTAACTCTAAACCAGGGCTGTCCATCCAACTCCTGCGCAGCTAAGAGCTACATGATGTGTGGGCTGCAGTCCCAGGGGCCACAAAAAGGCATGGGCAACCCAAGGGTCCTCCCTCGCCTCACCATGTATATCATACTGGCAGCTCCCTCCCACCCACCCTCCCTCCAACACTTGCAGACAGGCAGCCAAATTCCTTCCTTTGTGTGCAGCACAGGCACCCTACTCTCCCGCCATATGTGCAGCTCAGGCATTCCAACAAGCCCTCCTCCCCTCCCCAGTGTGTTGTTCTAGTCCCAGGAGTAGGGGCAGGGAGGAGAAACCAGAGGAGGGAGGGGGAGTCTTAACAACCTGGCTGCCATGGTGGGAGCAACACTGAGGGGGCAGTGTCGGCTGGCCAGAAATCCACGGGACTCGTGCTAACCCTTCAGGGGCTGCATACAGCCCGTGGGCCTGCCAGTTGGATAGTCCTCCTTTAAACAATATTAACATTTCATCATATAAATACCAGTTTGTCTAAACCTATTTATTTTCAAGATGTTAAATCAAACAGAATGTGGAGTTAATTGCATAGAGAACTCAGAAAAAAATACTGCTACAGAAAATGGCCTATTAAAAGTTTGAATGTGTTAATTCTAAGATGCATTTTAGCACCAAAACAAGAAATTGTGGGCTCCAATTGCATGAACTGGAATTTCACTCAAAGCAACAATGGTGGGTGAGTGTAAATTTGGGCCAGATTCAGAGCCGCAGCAGCTGCCTGCCCACCAGCTCTGCTTTGTATCTGTGAATCTAAAACAAGAGGCTTCCCCCTCCACCTCTCATGCTGATTGGGAAAAAATGTTGTGTTAGATTCAAGTAAATACAGTATAATATATATAGGTCACCATTGTCATACATTATACTTAGCTGTTAGAGAAAAAATTTAAGTAAGAACTGCTTAGTGGTCAAGATACATTACTCAAACTTGTATTACTGTCAGTGCAGAACTACATATTTTAAAACAAAAACTGCTTCTATAAAAGTCTTAATGTATTAAAAAAACTTAATGAAAATAAAAACCTTATTGTTCTTCAGAATGCAGAAAAACTTTTAATTGAAAAATGAAGACAAAGCTAGCGCATTGCATGCATTAGCCACAGAAAAGCGAAGTAAATTAATTTTTATTAGTAAAAGAACATGCTGGAAACACTAAGAGGAACAAGCAGAATATAGGAAATGATTAAGAAATAAATTGTGAGTTAATTAAACTGACAGAATATTTTCATATAAAACATTTGTAAAGGTTTGCTGGCAAGATAGCAAGCCTGAAGCAGTAGTAGTACTAGGGCACAACAGTAGTAAAGTCCAAATATATAGACTTTAATCCAAGGTATTTGTTACAATTACAGTATTATAATTTAATGGCATATTTTTTCAGAGGTCAATTCAAAGAAAGTATATGAACCATTTTTCCCCTGTAGTACCTAAATGATTTAAAATAATGATAGCTTACATGTGCAATTGCCTGAAAGATGGGTTGAATTTATGTTTGTGTCTAAAATGACAAATTATTATCAAGACAACTGTGACGAGGGAACAAAAGGAGTGTATAGCCTACTTCCCAGACCACTTGTGTGCTCATCAGATCACTTTTCAGGCTACAGCAACAGAAGTAGGTGCATAGCCAGGGTATGGTTCCAGACCCTTGCTTCTTTCCTTATTTTATTTTGGGACAAGAAGCACTCCAGTGATTATCAAAAAGTGGTCTCATGCATATGCGCATTTAATTTCCACTTGGACCATTGGCACAGCCTGTAAGTAAAGGCTTCCTATTCCTTTCCTACTGTCAATTTACATACCTTCACTAGGGACAATCTAGTTCCAACTATGGTTAACAACTATTGACATGAAGCCGTGCTACTTTCATAGTCCTAGAAATACCCGAATTCCTAGGATGCTAATTTGAAATTTCTCATGACTTTAATACTCTTGATCTTCAGAGCTAGGTCTCAGAATTGGGGGAAGAAAGGATTTTTGTGGGTGATAACTTTTATTTGATCAACTGCATAGTTGGAATCGACTTAAGCCTCTGAATGCAATGCATTATTTATCTTGTCTCAGAATTGCCCTATTTTTGTTAGGCCCTTTGATCATCTTATGTTTCTGCTCCTTAATCCATCTTTTTTTAATTTATCTGGATGAGAAGCCACTGCTTTATCCATCAGTGAAATCATTGCCTTGTATTTTGGCATCACAATCCTATCACTATAAATGCTATAACACATGCTCAGCACTGAGTTGACTGTACGATTAGGTAGTAGAAAATGAACTACAGGACATAATGTTAAGATATGCAAGTAAATTAAAAATATCAAAATGCACATAAAGCATAGATCACTGCATGTTCTCAAGGAGGCTCTCCTTCTAAAAAGATTTAAATTGTTGGTGGAAGATGTTTGATTGATCAGCTGATACAATTATATTCTTATTCCATAAAGTAATTGTCAGGATAACTTGATTCACTAACTCTAAGAATTCAACAAGGATAAAAGTTGTAAGGGTCGTTTCTGAGATATAGTGATATTATTATACTACCTCATATAGAACACTTTGCATTCATACATTTCAAAGCAGGTCTGAATTATTATCTCTGTTTCACAGATGGGGTGAGTGATGCATAGAGTGAAAGTGAGTTCCAAGGTCTCTCAGGCCCCAGTCAGGTGCTCTGTGCACTAAGTCATGCTGTCTACCCAATGTCAGGAACTCACAAATACCAGTCCAGGATGGACTTGCACAGGGTCAAAAGGTTTTGCCCATCCCTTTAGCTATTATTATAGTCCACTACTGTGCAAGTCTATCATGTGTATTATAGTCCAAATCTACATTCGCAGCCCTTCCTTGTGATTTTTAAAAGTATTTTAACTGCATCTCTCAGGATCCTACTTATTATGCTCCACACTGAAAATCCCCAAATACTTTACAAATATCAATTATTTAAGCCTCAAAATTTCTGAGAGGTATGTGAATATAATTTTCCCTATGAGTAAACTAGGAACAGAAAAGTTAAAAGGAACGGTAGAGAACTGCACAAAAAAGTGGCAGTAATAGGAAAAGTATTCAAGAGTAGGTCACCATCATGTCTCTAACCAGTAGTTACCACCTTATATATAGTGATAAGTTGGACAAAACTGGAAGTGGTTCATAACTTTGAAGAACTTTGAAGGGCCCATATTTGTTAGGAAAAGCAAAATGATTCTCTTAGAGTATGTTACAGAGAAATTACACAACTTGGATAAAGTGTGTCATTACTATAAGTGATTTCAATTGGTTGACATTATGCATACAAAATGAGGATACAAATAAGGGCCAAAAATGCTGACAGGACTAAAACTGTACCTGTCTCTATGCCTGGTATACGACTAGTGTTGAATGTACGTTCGTACTGAGAAGAGCACATTGGGATGGTATTTTGAATCATAAGCTGAAAGGAAAAAGGGAAAGTCAAACAAACAAAAAAAAAAGGATTTCAAATGACTGAGACTGCAGAGAGAACATATCTTATGGAGGCAAAAAACACAGGAAAAAACCCCAAATGAACCTGAAGGAAAAGAATGGAGAAAAGTAAAGAATATAAGTAAAAAAGCAGCACTCAATGTCTTATGGTCAGCTTCTAAACGAAGAAAAGGAAAAGCCAAAACCATACCAATCAAGTTCTAAAGTCAGTCAAAAAAAGGCTACAACGCCAAGAAAGGCAATTTCACATAAGAGCATCTTTCACACCTTGCTCGGTAAACCTAAATAGCTGGCAATCTAACGACCTATTAGGAGGCCATTCTTAGGAAATGTTCCACAGACTGTTTGGAATCCTTGATGCTTCTTATTCTTGGCTGACTGTGCTTACCTGTTTCCTCTCCTGGGATACGGGAGGTATTAAACATCCGCTCCCACTGAGCTGAGCAGAGTGGAACAGTGGATCCCATCAGAAGAATCTATGCCGCAAATGTGTGTTACAATTGTGTTTTTAAAGATACGATTAGCAAATTAAGAGAAAAAACACATGCCGATTAGAGAGAAATTGTAGGACAAGTATGGAGGATTCAGAACACGTCAGTTCCCAAACCCCTTTTTTCTTTCTTTCTTCTTCCTAGTTTTCCACTGACCTACACATATAAGATTCCACAGTGGCAGCCCTAGTATTCTGTAGGCTGCTCAGATACTTTTGGTAGCTGGCTCAGCTTCTGCATCAAATTGGTTGATCAATTGGTTGATCAATTCAAGCTGTGCATATACAGGCCAAAAGCTCTCTGGCTGCCAACCCATGATGCAGAACATCACACATTCACTGCCTGGGTTGCCTCTTCATTTGTTCTGTCCCTTACAGATACACTGCATAAATGAACATATGCAGTCTTGTTATATTTGTCTTCTAGAACAGACATGTTCCATATACGCACTAACCAGAGATGTTTCATCTTCCATAGCTGCATTTAATCATTAAAATGCTCTCTGTCAATAGAATGGAGTAGAGACTAAACTCCATTCTAAACACTGAAGAGACAGAGAAGGGGGAAGCTTTTGGTATACTCAGTAAGAGAGACACTGGGATGGCATTACCTGTGCACTCGTCCATATAAAATTTAGCCATCCTTGTGAGACTCAACCATTTACTGGAATTGGTATTTTTAAAAAGGAAGAGTAAGAGCATCAGAGAGGAATGGGGACATAATATTTCTAAATAAGAATCTATAGTACCGGTAGTTTAAAAATATTAAATAACTGCTTAAGAGTTTTCTTGTAACTTTATTTTCCATTTTTAGAGGCTGCAGAGAGATGGCCTGAAGCTACAAGATCCTAATTAGGATCTGCATTTCCCCAAAGTTTAGGTCTAACAGATGTAGAGTTTTGGTCTGCACGTTTGATAAGATTTTCTGGACATGTCCTGGAGTAGTGGTAGCCGGCTGGATATTATTTATATAAATTGGACAAGAGAAAGCAATTCAGCGGCATATCTGCTTAAAGAAAGAACTATTGCCTGAACACCGATTTTGTTCATTGTTTCTGCTCTCACACGGTGTTATTTGCATAAAGCACCCATTTCTATGGCACACTTCAGAGGTTTTTCTGTGTTTTAAATTGCTTTCTGGGTTAAATGGGCTTAAAATGACCTGTTATCCTTTCTACCTTCTTGGGCATATAAGGTGCAGACAGACATTAGATCCCGGCTCTAACTCATGACACTTTACATAAAATACCATGAGTTAGAGCCCAACCCCCCTGCCCCAAAAGATGTTTGACCGTTGTGTCGGTGGAGGGATGGGAGCACTGAAGCCAGTCTGCTCCAGCCCTGACCAACATGCAGGGGTGCTCCAGCAGCCTTCAAGGAGGCGGCCGAACCACCCTTCTCCCCAGACCTGCCCCCTCCAGCTCCAAGGCTGTCAGTGAGGGGGGAAGGGGGAAACGAAGCCTGCTTAACTTGTGGGCCCCCCTCACCTATATTTATAGAGCAAGGCAAGAAGGCTCCATTCTTCCCTAGGTACACCAGCTGGAGTATTGGGGGTACGGGGACGGGGACGATGACGACAGACAGACAGACAGACAGACATTGCAAGGCGAGGAAGCTCCATTCCCACCTCCCTGTTCCTCCTTAGTGTTGGCCATTTAGTAGCTGGGAGCTCCCTCTCCTTCCCCCTCCCTCTCCTAGCCTGAGGGATAGGGCTGGGCTGGTAGTGCCAACTCAGACCCCCTACTCCAACAGCAAAAAATTAACCTTGGAGGAAGCACAAGTTCCCTAAGGTGCTTTGCTTTTGAGCACCTTAATGTAATACCTGATTTAACCAGGGTTAATTTTTTGTGGAATTGGCCATTTTAAATGCACTCTGCAGCCATGCATGTGTATTATGACATGGCTGTAGAGTTCCTTTCAGGGGCCAAATCACTCAAACTACCACTTCTGTCTGTGCCCTTAACCTCTAAGTAAATTGTGTGGCCAAAAGATACTGTAATATTCCATGTTTACCTGGGTATAAAAAAACTGCTACTCTGATGTCTTTCATTAGTTCCTCACAACTAGAGAATGCATGATAAAGTTATCAAGTTGTTTTACATTTAGCTTGTGAAGTTTGAATTTTTACGAAATAAATAGCATCATGCTCAATTTTTAACTGAAGTGCAATAATTTTAGACCACAAATGTAGGAGGGATTTATGTTTCTGTTCTCCCATTTCAATTTTCACATGGATAAGACAAGTAAAGAGATTCTTCTGTTTTGCTTGATTTACTTCTTAACTAATTGTTAATGTAGACCTTTGCATGTAAACATATACCATTCCTTGTATTCTCAGGAGCAGCTCAGAAATTAAAATACAAGGCAAACTATTTCTATATGACATATCTGCTTCTCTAAAATGATATTCATTACCATGTGTCTTTTCTCCACTAAAATTCTACTGCATAAACCGCCAAAATTTGCCATAGAAAGGCAAGCACATTTTCCACAGCTTCACAGCTTGAATATATCATTGCATGATTAATCATTAGGTGAATCTAACAGATGGAATGATAACAAATATATACATGTGCATACAACTATTCTGGCCTGTAGGCAGACAAGTTAAGCTCAGATATGGCTCTAGCAAGAGAATTTAGCCTTTAATATGCATGGTAGAGTATATTTTTTAAGTTGAAGGCTCCTCAGGTTAACTGATAGCCAAAGTACATTTTTGAATACAATTACATCACAAATTTAGATGTCACATAGAAATATTCCTCTTTGTTATTTTTTGAAAAGTGATTAGTTTGAAATAGTCAGAAACCATTCATCAGATTTACATACTGGCTTGATTTCTTGTCTGTCCAGTTGCTTTCTGTACAGCAGAAGTGCATGTATAACATTACCAGCTCTAGCAGCCTGAATAGATGTAGGAGCAACACACAAGAAGTCCTGAAGAAAATAGAAGGAAGGGAAGTTAATACAGGTAATATAGTTGCAAAACTAAATTCAAAAGAATGCTTTTATTATTTGTTCATCAACTGAAAGACAATTTTCTTTTAACTTAACTTACTTTAGTATATACAGAAAAAGGGTTTTATATGCAGGGAAACTGGTCAAGTCACTTGACATCCTACTTTCAACAAAATGTTTTCAAAAGTCACAAAATAGTAGCAATACTTTCCCCTTTAATAATATCAGCCTAATGCTCCTATTTAGTCAATGGTATTCATAGCACCAGCAGAAAAGCAGTAAACCTCAATTTGAATCTGTAATCAGAGAGGTAATGGAGAAACTAGTGCCTTATTTCTAATAAGAGATCTGTAAATTTGTATGGCCAATGCATACATATTCACAAGTTTAAAGAAGCATATGCTTATTGTTCGAGTAATACAGAGAGTATTTAAGACAAGGGTGGCCAACCTGTCACATGCATGCCACAGGCAGCTGCTATGTGTGGTCCATGAACCCTGTGTGCTCAGTAATAGAAGGCATTGGAATGGAGGCAGGGGGACTCCAGGTTCCAGGCACAGGGGCAGGACACTGCTGCCAAATTCAGGGCTTGGAATCCTTATTCACCATATAAAACTGCCGTGGTTGTGGGGCCAGGGAAGAGGACCTGGCTCTTGGAGATTAAACCTCTCTCAAAGCAACTTGTCAGCATCCCTTCTTGCCACTCCCTGTAGCCAACCCTTTCCCAAGAGCCCACTGCAACCCATTCCTTCTGCTCCCCCCACCACCACTCTCCCCCTCCCCACAAAGTACACTATCAGGTGCACCTCTGGGGGGCAGGGATCAGTGGCAGCTGGGAAGGGGCAGGGCTCAACTTGTGGCATCCCTGCCAAAAAGACCAGCTGCAAGTGATTTAAGGCAAAAGTCAATGTTATTTAAAGTAAATTAGTAACACTATGGAGAAGCAATAATCCTTCTTGAACTTTTAAAATGGAAGTAAGATTCCATAATAAATTTGAGTTAAACACAAAATGTGCTGTGCATTTATTATGAAAATTGCATATTAAGGCACACCAGCTGTGTTGCAAGACATGATATGCAGAATATACTTTGAGAAAGAAAAGCAGATCATAACAATAACACTGACAATGAAGTTCAGAAAGATAACAATATTTATTAATTAAAAAAATTCTCTCTACAGCATTTCTACAAAATTTAAATGTTTAGAGGATTTACTTACCATTGCATAGTAATTACTATTAACCATTATTGGCCCACGTCCTCTAAGGTAGATGTACTCTTCCCACCAATCACTAACCTATGGCATTGAAGAGAACAACATTTAATAGAAGCTCATTATAACCTGTGCCACTCTCCAGTCAAGCCAAGTCCCTTACTGTACTGGCTCCACAATCCTCAGTAACATTACACTCTGTGTGCTTTGTTTACTTGTTTGTTTTTAAGAGTGCTGTATGATGGACTATTACTGCAACAGTGGCAAAGACCCAGAAGTTCAGTCTTAATACTCAGATAAGATACTGTCCTTCCCTTTTTCAGTCAGTAATTTTAAAAGTATCCTTATAATATGTATTGCAATAAATCTCCTGAATATTCTTCATTCTATTGACAGCCTGGCTTTAAGAACTATACAAGCTTCTTCAGGCTATAATGTACAGCAGGGGTGCTCAACCCCTGGCCCATGGGCCAGATCCAACCTGTCACACGGTGTCATTTAGCCTAGGGGGCTCCCCACAGGTCCAGAAAATTGGCAGCAGGAGAACAGGAGGAGCCACAGGTCACAAACTGGATTGAGTGCCTGATTCCAGTGCACAGGGATTGTTAGGACCCAGAGGCCTTCAGGGATGCAGCAGGATGGGCAGGGACAGCACCAGGCCCCAGGGCCAGATCCGGCCTGAGGACCAGCATTATGCCACTCATCTGCCCCACATGGCCAAAAGCTTGAGTACCACTGTTATAAAGCCAAGCCTTATATAATGGGTCAGAAGGGATTATATTTCATTGTTTTGGCCACATGTTCTTTCTGTAAGAAGTGCAAATGAGGCAGCTGCATAAAGTTTCCATTTTGAGCAATCAAGGAGAGGAAGAGGAAAAAGCGAAGCTAAACCACATTTTTTTTACTCCCTGTGTCCTGAGTAAGCTAAGTGAAGCACTCACAAACAAGTTCAAAAGCAAACAGAGAACTAAAAAATTTAAACATTAAGCCAACAGTTAAAAAGACTGGTGTAAAATAATGGGAACAAAGTTAGGATCCATACTTTCTCAAGTTCTACTTATAGTTGTATTGATTACTTGCCGTGTCACACTCAGCAAGTCATTTGAATTTCCTTAGCAACACAATGGGTAACTGTAGGCACATCTACACAAGACATTTACTGCAGAGTAGACTATCTAGCTCCGCAGTAAACACAGTGGGTCTACAAGTGTGGCCCTATTAGGCCACAGGAAACTAATTAACTCTGCAGCAGAGTAGTACTTGTAAAATATAAGCACTAGCTTACTGCAAAATTATTTACTGCGCAGCAATGCACTTGTAGACTCTGACCTGGGTGTAAATTGTGTCTGGCCAGCCCAGCCAGCAGGGGGCCATGCTCCTGCCTAGCCATATAGCTCGGCAGCAGCAGAAGGCTCGTGGCCCAGCCAGCTCCTCCACCACCGAACACAGCTACCCACTGCCTGGGCCTGATCCCTTGTACTCCGTGCCAGCCCGGGGCTGCCCCCAGGACACACTGCTACCACCAGCCAGAGCCCAGGGCTGATCCCTGTGTCCCCTGTCAGACCAGGGCTGACACCCAGGTAGCTGCGGCTGAAGCCTGGAGCTCCCCCTGGCTGCTGCAGTAGGACAGAGCAGGGCAGGAAGAACCCTGGCTTAAACTGATCCTCCCCAGTTCAGTTTGCTGCTGTCCTGGGCACATGTGTAGATGCTGCACCTAGGAATAGTTTATTGTAGTGCAAATTGCTCTACATTTTATTCAGTCGCATTAATTGAACTTGTAGATGCATCCTGTGAGAACTAATAGGTGTAAAGTACATTCAGAATATGCACACCATTTTTTTTTTCTAGCAGTTTTGGTAGTAATTCTTTCAACTTCAGAAAGAATGAAAATTGAAAGAGCATGCAAAAGAAAAAAGGAAAAAAATGCAGCAATAGAGAGATTTAAACTATGTAATTTCATGAGAGACATCTATTCATCTACTTACATAGTTTGTAGCCCACCAGGATTTCAGCTTCAAATACCACTGGAGTCTTGGTCCAAGATTAACTGCAAAATCTTTGGCAAGACCATCCATTCTTTTGAATTCTACATCATTCATAAGTGGCCGAACTGATTCCAGATACTAGAATTAACACAAGAAAAGATGCAATGACCATGCAGCAGACTTCACCATAGTTCATTGTTACTTCTTCACACAGAGCTTAAAGAGGACAAAAGGGATCAAACTCATCTCACAGAATTTCAGCAGAAGCAGGTGTTTAGTTAAAAATAACATTGAGAAAACACATCTTAAAAGTCTATAAACCCATTTTCTGTTATCTATATTTTCTCCTTAAACCATCCACTCCATTTACACATGCAAATATATTTATCAGCCTAGGCCTTGTTAGAAAAATTTCTCTCTCTCTTATAGGCAAGACATTTTAGGAATGTAAAACAGTCTCTTTATTATTGGCCATTTTAGGTATGATCTGTAAACTTCAGGGATTTGACGTAAATTCCTAGAATTATTTTTGTTGCCTTATCTCCCTCCACTGCAAAAAAACCAAAAACAAAACCCAGAATAGTTTCTTTGTCTAATACCAGATAGATTCAACAACTGCAAGAATACAAGTAAACCTGAAATGCCAGTAAGTTGGTGTCTTCCCTATAAGAATTCCTGTAACAAAATCTGTTATAACAAATGCTATGTTTAAGTAATATGTCAAATGTATACAATATAGACATAAAAGTAGGAAGGGATATTCAGGACTGACAGTACTCTTGCAAATTGAATGCATTTCTGTGTTCTGCAGCATCTACTGAAAAGACATATGGTATTATACAATTATTGGAGAGAATAGGCCCGGTTTTAACAACCAAAGGATGGAGTACGAGTCTAACGTTTGAATTGCCTTGTTTTTACTGCTTTAACAGAATCTTTACCTTAAATGCAGATGCAAATATGTTAACCTCTTATTAAATGGCATTAACCAAAGTACATTTACTATACAAGACAGGGCGAAACATGCTGCTGTATTTTGTCCGAAATTATGCAAAAAGTGAGTTAAATGTCTAACAACTTACCCTGGTAACAGTGTCTTTAATAGATGGGACTGGTAGTCGTGGCAGAGATGTCTGGAAGCTGTATAACATTGGTTTACATCCTGAGAAAAGCTTTACTAGTGACTGAAATTAAGAAAAAACAACTATTAGCTTCAAAAAAGGAATCCAAAGGACATAGGTAACTAGAAAGATACTGTTTAACATTTGAGATGTAGATCTCAAAGCATTTTGCTAGAAAGAAATAAGTATCATTACCCCTACTTTAGAGGCAGAAAAACAGGCATGCGTGTGAAGTGACTAGACCTAGTTCTCTCAGTCGGGCAATCTAGTCATGGGAAAAACTGCCTGCTACATGGTATTGGGCACACAGCTGCTTCTGTTTTCAACCAAAAGGACCTTGTCAGAAAGAATGTATATAATTTGGAAAATGTTTCCAAATACATGCATCTGAGCATCTTTCATCCCTTTCCATTCAGGGGCTTGAAGAAAGGGAAACAGCACTTCCACCTCTGACCAGTTCCAAACCCTGACAGTTTGTGTACACAGTAGTGTATTAGACTTACACTACTATAAAGAATAGGACATCATCATGCAACTGTCATATCAGCATAGAAAGAAAAAAGGAGTTTTCATTTGTTCAAAAAATATATATCTGCTGTCTCTACTGCGTGATCCTGCATTTGTGCTGAAGGAAGGGGCAGTGGGGGGGATGCAATTCTTTCCATCTTTAACCATGCATAATTGAACCAGAAAGTTGGTTTATTCTGTGATGCACAATATAAGCTTTATAGTGAGCTTCCTTCCTTTGTCACCTTTGAGGGCCACCACAGCAACAGAAAGTTGTTCCTAACATGAATGCTAAGGAACTACAAGAGACAGCAAGCTCTACAAAATTTCGGAGTAGGCCTTACTGGTCTCAGGGAGTTGGTCATTAATTATGCTTGTTGACAGAACATATATATATATATTTTTTAAAACAGGGAAGCTATCTTCTGGAGTTTTTCATGGAAAAAAGGAACTATTTACCTCCAGAACACTTAAGCCACAGATTCACGTTTAATAGCGACATTTATTTCTGTATACCTATTTATTTACAGTAATCTTGTTAATTAAGATATTTAGTGCAATTTGTATATTTAAAATAGTGCGTCAAAAATAAGATATTTGGTTGCACGCACAGTTAATATTTCCAATTTAATATCCAGATACAGAAATGATCTCACTGTAATGGGCCTTGCCTTTACAGGGAAGAAAATCTCTCTTAATATTTAAGAACAAATCTTAAATTATATTACAGAATTTTTGCTTAGTACCCCTAGGATTTAATGTTTTCTTAAAAATAATTAACCATACAGCAGAAGTGTTACTAAATTTTCAGTAATTTGCAAAGTACTTTGGACTCTGTTCACATAAAATCCAGCTGTCCTACCATGGTTTATTTTTTAGCAGAGGCCAGAAAATTCATAATAACCACGCCCTGAAATGCTTTTACTCAAAGGAACAGCTGAAAAATAAAACACGAAATCAAGCTCCAGAAAAAAAGCCACAAGATACAAAAGTATAGTAAACATTTAGACAGTTCTGAAGTTGAGCACTGTTTAACAAGGGAAATGACACTATCGACACCACTGGAAATTAGTAAACTCATCGTGATAGAGCTCAAAAAAATTGAGGGACTAAAAGAAAATCTGACTTCACTTAGAAATGAGAGTGAATGATAGGTACAGACCTTTACAATGATAAACATTTTAAAAACCATGATCAGAAACAGCTTTCTAACCGTACACAGAAATATAATAATCGGCTAGCATAGTAATTAGCATTACAATTCATGCTGCGTAAGCTTAGTGTTAAGGGAAGATTAACAGCTTAAAAATATCTATTTGGTAGGACATGCTGAAAACTCAGCCAGTGAGAACTTCAAGCAATTGACAGAATGCCTTACCATTCAGAGCCTTTACTGTACAAATTCAAATCAGGAGGCTCTTTGTACCATATCTGAGAGAAACTAGCAAAAATTTCATTTGTAACATAACATACATAGGCACACCGCAGCAGTATTTTAATATACCTTTCCACAAACCTCTCCCAAATACCTTCTGTAAGAAGGTCACTAGACATTATGAGCAATTTGTAGTAAGGGTTGAGAACGCTGAGTTTAAGGGTTAGCTTTATCTTAGTATGGCTCTTATGCCATTTCTAATACAATCCAAGCCAAAGGAAGAGTATTTCTGTTGAGATTAAATTAGTCTGATTAACAAAAAGTTCTCCAAAGACATTCACCAATGTATATACAAAAAACCCTATTTTACTAAAACAGAGCAGACCGCAGCACCACATTTACTCAAATCCAAGATAACTTCAAATTTAAAATGAGCCCCCCCACCCCAATTAAGTTCTGTACATGGAAAAATAAAAAATTGTTATAATTTTCCATGTATAGAATCCAATTAGCAAAAAGCTGTCTTAAATTTGTTCCCCACCCTCCTACTGCTTTGGTGGGGAAAGCACTACTGGAGGTGAGGAGCCAGACCCCAACACCTTACTCCCTTGCCGTCTACCATGCCCCTCCCCATGCCTATGCCTGCCTCTTGCTCCCCTCCCAACTCCTTGCTTCCCCCACCCCCTGCAGCCTGCCCCACACTGTTGCATCTTGTCCTTGTGCCTGCCCCCTCCCTTCTGCTGTTGCTCTGCTGCTCTTTTGGGGCAGTCAGCAGCACTGTGGCTTCAGCCAGATCTGGCCCCTGCCTCTCCACTTCCTGTTTCCTCCTGCAGCCTGCCTCCCCCCACCTTGACCCCCACCCTTTTACTTTCTGCTGCAGCTCTGCCCCAGCTCCAGAGTACTCAGAAACATCACAGCCCCAGCATGGCCCCAGTCCAGGCCAGCCAGGGAGAAGCAGCAGCTCCTGGCCAGGCAGGGCTGGGGCTTGAGGGACCAGAACTGGAGCAGAAGGTAAAGGGGGAGGGGGCAGCTGGGAGGATGGGAGCAGGGGACAGGCAGGCAAAAAGTACCAGGGAATGGGGTGGGAGCATGGGACAGGCTACAGGTCCCACCCTCCCCTCAGTATCCCTCATGCTCCCCTTGTCACATGCCCCTCACATGCCAAGTAAGTAGGGCTCTGCGAAGCTTCAGTTGCTGATTTGATTTGACGGAGATTTGGCCTCATTCAGTGGCTGAATCTCTGAATCTGAAGACCCTTTAATCTCTCCGAATCAAATCAGAACCCTCCGAATCGATTTAGAGATATTTGGAAAGATTCAATAATTCGGACATAGACACAGCTTTAAATGTTTTTTCTAGATATCTCAAGGTACCAGGCAGATCGTGAATGCTGAGATGGTGAGGCGGATGGAGCATCCCACTGGAGTGGTGGGGGGGGGGGGGGGGTGTCCTCAGCGCATTCGGCAGGAGACCCAGAAGTGGACCAGACGCGCTTCTGGTTCACTTCTGGGTCCGCTGGGGAGCACGTTGGAGGGGGCCCCCATGCCCCCACCCAGCTCAGCAACTGATGCCTCCTGGGTCTGGGGGGGCACCTGGGGTACCCTTGCAGCCGATCACTGAGCCGGGGGTGGGCAGGCCTCAGTGGCAGGCTCAGAAGGAGACTGGGAATATTTCCGATTCACTTTCAGGTTTGCTGCTGAGCATGTAGGGGTCTGCCCACGCTCCCGTGGGATGCTCCATCTGCCCCAGCATCACAACTTTCATGAGCCATGCCTGGTACCTCGAGGTATGTAGAAAAAACATTTAAAGCTGTGTCTATGGCCAAATCACTGATTCTCTGAATCAGCATCGAATCTTCAGATTCGGATTCAACCAAATCAAATCGCTACAGTGATCTGAATCAACGAATCAAATCACTGTCCCCGATTCGGGCCAAATCCGAATCTGAATCAAATACAGCCCATTTCGCACACCCCTACAAATAAGCTATATTCCAGCCCAGAGCAGGTGGTGGCTCAGATCTGGCTTCAGCCCAGGGTCTGAGGCCAAAGCCAGAGCTGAGCCACTGCCTTGCCCTGGGCTGGTACTCAAATTCAAGATGAGCCCCCGCCTCCATCATGCTGTTGGGGCGGGGGGTGGGAAATCTTCTCTTGGATCTAAGTAAATATGGTAGGTGTCATTTATAAAGGGGCATACACTGCAGAAATTAAATCCAAGCTCCAACCCAACCTGCACTAGGCAGCTAGGGCAGCTCATTCCAGAGAAGATAGAACATTGTATGCAAGGGTCTGTAATCACTGAACTGTACTTGAATATTAAAGTACAAACCATATATATGGTCTTTTGCTTTGGGAAAATTAATAACTTACACTTTAAACAATCTTCTCTCTCAAAGGGGTACCCAACAGTTCCAATATCAATAGACAATGGCAAATGGATGACAGTAGCCAAAGAAGAGAAAGCGCACATCCCCCAGTGCATATCATTATTTAAATAAAACGAGTAAGAAAGGATACCAGAAAGAAAATACTAAAGCACTCACTTCAAAATCCATAATGGATCATAAATTATTTAACAAAATTATATCATTACTACAATTAAAATAGAAATGGACAAAATTGCCTTACCATCCAAATCTTGGTTCCGGTAGAAAGTCTGCCATGTTCAGCGAACATCCATCCATGGTAGGAAAGAAGCATCTTTAACGAGTAGCGCATTGTGATAATGAGGGCCACCCACAGGCCTGTGCCAAAAAGTATCCCACTCACAATGTTCTGTGTTTGGTTGGACATATAACCACTATTTAAAATAGAAGCCATTTTATGTCAATTAGCATCACAAGAGAGAACAATTCTAATATGAACCCTACTCATTTCCAATGATTACTCTTACTATTAAGATCTATTTTGAGATCAAGTAATCCTTCAACAAATTGCTGGTAGAATCATAAGATTTTCAGGTACGTTGAAGTCACTTTTACATAATACAGTTTGAGAACTTCACTCTAACTATTTGTGCACATCACAAAATTATGACATTGCTTGCCTCTAAAATATAGAGCCCAAGCACTGAAAGAGAAGGGATAGTGAAGGTCTGGAGTACCTTCTTCGCAAGTGTAGATTACTGAAAGGTACAGCAAACCAGGAATTTGCGTGCACTGGCAAAGCTTGTATGCAGAAAGCTTACCTCATGCCTGCCCGTTCTTTGCCTGCTTATGAGCTTTTGCTATTCTCATGCAAAGAACATTGGATAAACAATATTAGAAAGGGCGCTTCAGTGCTTGTGTATCAAATAAATGGAATACATAAAACAACAATAATAAGTCACATCTGATACAGAAATAAGGTAGGAGTTATGTCCTTTTGCTAAATACATAGTGTTAAATCTGCTCCAGTACACACATTCCCAGCCACATTTGAAATATCTGGTCTTCTGAAAGCACTTAAAGTTACCTATCCAATTTAGCAGAATGTAAACAAGGAACTTGCAAAGGCAAAACAAGGGTAAATGCCTAACATGAAGAGCACACACCAACTGCTAAAGCTTCCTTAGCCTGACGAAGGGTTTTTGAACCCAAAAGCTTGCTTAATAACTATTCTCCAACCATTTGGGTTGGTCTAATGAAAGATTCACCCAAGGAACCTTGTCTAACATACTATCAAGCATTCTCAGTATCTTAGGCTCATAGCATTATAGGAAAGTAGGGCTGGAAGAGAACTGATGAGGTCACATAAGTCCAGCCCTCTGCTCAAGACAGGATCATTTCTGCCTAAACCATCCCAGCCACATGTCTATCTAGGCAGCTCTTGTGGAATTGCCCACCCCAGAAATGTTCAGCTTCTCTAAGTAGCCTGTTCCTATGCTTAACCATCCTCATAGTTGGGGCCTGGTTTAAAAACCACAATTTCACATTTTTTGTGAAAATCATGAAATTAAGTGATTTGTCATGAAAAATGTGATTTGCAACGAAATGCCGTGATATGGCCATTTGTTGGGGAGTTCCCCAGCAAGCAGCCATATCATGGCATTTCACTGCAACAAGATGGCTCCTGCAGGCTGGGGAAAGCATTTCCCAGGGAGCAGCAACAGCTTAGCAACCCAGGGAAGCGGGGGGAAGGTGTCCCAAAAAGGACAGGGAGAAGAATGGGTAGGGGAGGGGCTATTTGCTCCTCTGGGCAGGAAAACTGGGGCATGGGAGGGGGTTGGAGGTGCCTAGGGGCTACCTGGGCAGACAGCCCTGGCACCAGGTAGGAGAGAAGCTGTTTAAACCAGACCGTACTCACAGGGTGCCTATACATGAGCAGCCTTGCTGCTTCAATGTGCTGTAATCAATAAGCTTTAGTTAAAGTGCCCCCACCGCCATTTTTCAGCATGGGGACACTGATACACGAGATGCTCCAGGCACTTTACTTAAAGCTGCTCTTGTACCAGCTCTAATTAAAGGACACCCCACCCCCCCGTACATGTATAAATGCCCTTAGTTAGAAAAGTACTTAAACTCCAACCTAAAAATTTCCTTTGCTGAAGTTTGAGACCATTGCTCCTAATCCTGTCCCCTACGGTCATGGAGAAAAAGCTAATCTCCATTCTCCCTAGCATCAGCCTTCAGGTATTAGAAGATTGTTATCAAATTCCTTCCTTAGCTGTCTCTTCTCCGGGATCATTTTAATCCTAGTTTTTTCAGCCTTTCCTCATAAATCACACTTCCAAGGCCTCTAAGCATCTGTATTACTCCAGGGGACTTTGCTCAGTGTGTTCACATAAAGTTGTTATTGTTTATTTCTATGCAGCTCTACCTAATAGAATAAACTGAAAAAGGGGCTTAAGAGTCAATTTCTACAATATAAATGGAATCATGGCAACAGCATGTCTGACGGTGTTTAATATACATCACACACAAGCAATCTCCCAATATGCACATCACTCTTCAGCTATGGACATGCCTTCACCTGTATTTTTTCTTAAAAATGACTGAATTTAACACGTGTGATAATAACTTTTAACAGCTTAAGTCTAGACCATGCACATGGCCGGAAGAATTGTACAAACTTCTTTGTATATCCTCTAATCATTCACTCTTACTCTGACAGTCACATCATCTACTGTTGTTGTTCCTGGTGAAGAAGAACTTTCTAATCATGTCTTCCCTCAAGAAATACTAATAAAAGGATGTAGTAATACCAGCATGGTAATTTACATATTACAGTCAGCCTGTTAAGTCAGCAGAGTTCAATGGAGAACAACAAAAATGCTCTCCTATACCAACCTCCAAAGCCCTGTGGGCATGGAGCAGGGGTGAAGGAGATGGCACTAATGAATCAGGCAGTCGCCAGCCGTGAATCTGCATGCAAGTGGCAGCAGCCTGGTGGTTGTCTTGCACCTGGGTTGAGAAAGAGTTGCAATTTGGCAGTAGCTACCGTGACTGAGCAGTCACAGGATCCCCTCTGCTCACCCAACATGTGGAAGGGGTTAGAAAAGGTGCCCTAAACTTGGGCTGTCTTATCTGTTCCTGGCTGGATAATGTGTTTAGTGGGATCACTCAGTGGTCAAAAACAACATAAGAATGATTTTTGCAACATGGAATGTTTGCACTTTGATGGGTAACTAAGATAACGAACAACCAGAAAGAAGACCTGCCGTTCGTCTCCAGGAAACTAGCAAAATACAACATCAACACTGTAGTTCTGAGTGAGACAAAGTGACTGGATGAGGGCCAGCTGAGGCAAGAAGATGGAGGCTACACATTCTTCTGGAAAGGGAAACTGGCCTATGACAGATGTGTTCATGGTGTTGGTTTTACCATCAAGAATCAGCCCATCAGCCAACATACAGAGCTCCCTGTGGGCATTAATGAACATCTTATGACTCTTTGTCTTAAGCGCAGCAACAACCAATACACCACAGTCATTAGCACATATACATCAGCATTGGCTTGATGCTGACAATGATGTCAAAGAACAGTTCTATTCCAACATTGACTATATTCTGACTAATACTTGCAAGGAGGATAAGATCATTCTCTTTGGTGACTTCAATGCCACAGTTGGACGTAACCTGGAACTATGGAGTGGCATCATTGGGAAAGATGGAGTAGAGAAAGCCAACTCTAATGGCATCCTTCTCCTGAGCAAATGTGTGAAACACAATCTTGTTATCACAAACACCATCTTCGTCCAGTTTTAGGCTCCACAATTCAAAAAGGACGTGGAGAAGCTTGAGAGAGTCCAGAGGAGAGCCACGTGCATGATAAGAGGTCAGGAAAATAGACCTTAGGATGAGAGGCTGAGAGCTATGGGACTCTTCAGCCTGGAAAAGCGCAGGCTCAGGGGTGATTTGGTGGCCACCTATAAGTTTATCAGGGGTGCTCATCAGGATCTGGGGGAACGTCTGTTCACCAGAGTGCCCCAAAGGATGACAAGATCAAATGGTCACAAACTCCTCCGTGATCATTTCGGGCTGGACATAGGGAAGAACTTTACTGTCCGAGTGCCCAAGGTATGGAATAGACTGCCACCGGAGGTAGTTCAAGCACCTACCTTGAACACCTTCAAGAGACATTTGGATGTCCATTTTGCTGGGATCCTATGACCCCTGCTGACTTCCTGCCCTTTGGGCATGGGGCTGGACTTGATGATCTTCCGAGGTCCCTTCCAGTCCTAATGTCTATGAAATTTTCACACACAATGACACACGCAAGAACACACGGAGACACGTTCACTGTAAGCACTGGAACCTCCTTGACTATGTTATTGTTAGAGCCCATGACTGAATGGATGTCCATATCACACAAGCCATGAGAGGAACTGATGATTGCTGCAAGGTTCACTGTCTTGTCAGATCCTTTATGAACATCCGGCCAGCTAGAAACATCAAAAACAGCCAAAAGCAATGCAAAGGACTCTCAACATCAGATTTCTTCAGGACAATCTGTAGTGCAAATGACATGTTATTTATTGTCTGTCAGGTCCAAAAAAAGCGTTGGGAACACCAGGACCTATATGTGGCCTTCACTGACCTCACTAAAGCCTTTGATTCTGTCAATCACGAAGATCTGTGGAAAGTACTGGCCTGATTTGGATGTCCTGAGAAGTACATCATGGTCCCAAGACTTCTTCACCACTGGATGTCTGAAATCGTCCTATGTAATGGATTGGAGACAGATCCATTTGTCATCTGAGCTGCGGTCAAGCTAGGATGCGTCATCACCCCAACTCTGTTCTCCATTTTTCTGACAGTCATCCTGGTTCTCATTAAGGACCTCTTTCCTTCTGGAATTGACACAGAATTCCAAAAGATGAAGGGCTCTTCATTCTGGGATGTTTTCAGTCAAAGACCAAAGTACTCAAAACCAAGGTTCCCCTCCAAGCTGTGTGCGTGCGCAGCTGCGCACGCTTTAAAAACATGTTGCGCACAAACTTATTAATAACATGCACCTGCCCAGATAGGAACTGGGCTGTGGCTTCCCCAAGAGGAGCTGGGCAACGAGCTGAGCACGGCAGAGGCACTGGGGCCGGCGCAGGACACTTACCAGAGGTAAGCTCAGGTAGCGGCTCCTCCCCAAGGCCATGTGCTACCAGAGACAAGGTGGGGCTGGGAGCTGGTGCCGGGGAACTACTTCGCTTCCCAGCCCCAACGCCATGTGCCTCCTTGCTCCCAGAGGCATGGCAAGACGGAGCTGGCGTGGGCTCCGCCTGTGCCAGGAAACTGCTCTGCTCCCCAGCCCCGACACCACATGCCTCCATGCTCCCAGAGGCAAGGCGGAGGCTGGTGGGGGCTCTACTGGCACTGGGAAGCTGCTCTGCTCCCCAGCCTCGACACCATGCGCTTCCTTGCTCCTGGAGGAGAGGCGAGGTGGGGGCTGGGGCCAGGAAACTGCTCCGCTCCTGGAGGCAACGATGGGGCTGAGGCTGGGGGCTGGCGCAGACTCTTCTGGCGCCATTTCCCCAGCCCATGCCATGTGTCTCCTTGCTTCCAGAGGAGAGGCAGGGACTGGGGCTGGGAAACTGCTCCACTCTCAGAGGCAATGTGGGGGCTGGGGTTGGGGGCTGGCGTGGGTTCCGCTGGCACCAGGAATCTACTACACTCTCCAGCCCACGCCATGTAACTCCTCGCTCCCAGAGGCAAGGCAGGGGCTGGGACCAGGAAACTGCTCCGCTCCCCAGCCCACCCCACGTGCCTCCTTGCTCCCAGAGGCGAGGCGGGGGCTGGTGCCAGTTTTTTAGCCATTTAGCTACTTTTTAGCCATTTAGTGGTTTGTCTTTATTGTCACTAGTTTATGCATTTGAATTTAAATGTATTAAACAGAAAAAGAAGTTGCAAATGGTGTTGTTTTTGTTATAAGCATCCTAAGATGTGTAATCTTGAGTTTGGGGGTGCTGGTTATAGCTTTGTTGCTCTAAGGGCATAGGCAGACAAGGTGCTTTGGGTAAATTAGCTGTTAGCTGCTTTTTCTATCATTCTGGAATTTCTGGAAATTAGACTATTTGAAATACCACTTGAAACACAAGATTACACAGATTCTGTGATGAAACTAGGCAGCCAAAAGCAGAGGAATCCTGAAAAGTTTATTTTCTGAAACATACGAGACATGGGAAAATGGGATAGAACTGTCTGAAAGGAAGCAATCAAATGTCCACGAAGTCAAAATCTTAATTGATAATGTTCTCCCCGCAGTGGAGTTAAATTTATCAATGCTATCAGTGCAGGAAATCCAGTCATGTTGGCAAATATGTTAAAATTCCTGAAAGCTGGAGAAGTAAGAATTATGCATTTGAATTTATTGGCTGCATAAATTCTGTAATTCATCAGGAAGCACTGAATGAAATGCGTACAATCGCCATTCCACATTTTGATAGCTGACGAGAGCACAGATATCTCTGTTACAGAATTAACATTTTGCTATCTAAAATTCCGAACTATGGATGATTTCACTCATCAGACCAGGTTTCCTGGAATTTAAAAGCTGACAGCTTGTGATAGCTCTGCTATTGTAGTAGCAATTAGGCAATTTTATGCTGACAGCAACTTAGATATGCAAAAGATGGTAACGTTCACCTCCGATGGTGCTTCAGTAACGCAAGCACAATGGTATGGCTGCCGTACTTTGCCAGTCTATTCCACATCTGCTCGAGCAGCACTGCGTGGCACACTGTGAAGACTTGGGGATTGATGATGCTTGGAAAGACGTACTTTGATGAGGTGCGTTGAAACTTCACTACGGACCATATACACACTTCTTAGTAGGTCTTCTGTAAAAAAATCTAAGTTTGAAGAACTATCTAAGGCTGCTAAGCACAAAACAGTTTCATCTAGGTCACTGAATGCGGTCAGATGGTTCTCTAGACATTTTGCTGTTAGTGCCGTGATGAAGAATTATACTGTGTTGATGGACTACTGTGCACAACAAGGGGCTGAAGACAATGGCCCAATTCACAAATACTGCTTGGACAAACTGCGGGAACCAGAGCATCATGTTGCACTGGCTATACTAAATGTCTTAGGTGAACTGGCTGAGTTGTGCAGAATGCTTCAATGAATTTCACTAACAACAGTAGAAGCATTTCAGTTTGCCAAAGCTAGAATTGCCATCTTCATTCACAGCATCTTAGTGAGACTGTACATTTTTCTGAAGACGTTCAAACCTTGCTGTCATCATTTGAATCACCTGTTGACACTACATCAGTTATTCAATTCACTGAACGTACACGTGACCACATGGACAACAGATTTCCAGAAGGCAAGTTGAAAGAATAGTCAATTTTCGATAAGGATTCTTTTTCCTCTTCATTAAACAGGAATGATTTCTCTTTTGGGCATGAAGAGCTGAAAACACTGGCAACAAGATATAGCACCTTGCTAAACAAATCTGTAGAAACTTTTAAGAGGGACCTATGCAAACAATATGTAGACTTTAAATTAACTGTTAGTGAGAAAATGAAAACTGGGGCAATAAAGACCTTTGAAGACATGGTCACCTACATACTACAACAGGAACAATTTAGTGAACTGTCATTACTTGTTGACATCTGTGCCACTTTCCAGGCATCTAGTGCAGATTGTGAGAGACAGTTTAGCCTCATGAACACAATAAAAACAAAGTCTAGAAATCATTTACAAGTTGATAATCTGGATAAGCTGATGCAAATTAAACTTCATTAAGCCTCAGGAAAGACTGTTAAACTGGACACTGTACATTCTGTTTGGGAAACAGAAAGAGGTAGATGGGAGTCACTCGGGTAAATAAAGGTTACAGTATCATTCATCTTTTGCTGTTATACTGTGTTATACTGTGGGGCAGACCGAAGCGGCTCACGCAAAAAGGGGGAGGTGGGACCAATTTGTGAACGGACCGAAGCAGCACGCTCACGGACTGAAGCAGCACGCTCACGGACCACTACAACTTGGAGGGAACATTGCTCAAAACAACCATCCTTGACCTTCAATACGCCGACAACTGCACCATTCTTGTGCACACTGAGGAAAACCTCCAGATAGCGATGGATCTTTTTAGAGAAGCCTAGCAAACTTTGGGCCCCTCTCTCAACACTGAGATGACTAAAATTCTCTATCAGCCTGCCCAGGGCCATGAATGTGACCCCCTCCCCTCAAATTACCATCGAAGGAAAGATCTTCTACCTTGAAGATGCTGAGAACATCTTCTACCTTGGTAGCTACCTCTCTCAGAGAGGGAACATCGATGAGGAGATCCAACACAGGATCTGGTAGACAAATTCCTCCTTTAGGAAATTGCTTTGATGTGTCTTTACTCATCATGATCTCCAGAAAGACACCAAGATCCAGGTCTACGATGTAGTCATCATCCCCACTCTCTTCTATGGATATGAAACATGGATGACCTACTGTCATCTCAAGAGCCCAGAGAGGTATCATCGACGATGCCTCTGGAAAATCCTCTGCATCAAATGGAAAGATTACCACACAAACACCAGCATCCTTGCTGAAGCCAATGTTACCAGTTTTGAGAAAGTGATCCACAAGCACCAATTTCACTGGACTGGACCTTTCTATGCAGATACCAGACTCTCAAGTCCCAAAACAAGTGTTCTACTCTCAGCTCAGTAATGACCTGAGATATTACAGTAGCCACAGGAAATGCTACAAAAAAGATTTTGGAGGCATATTTCAAGAAAACAGATGCTGGCATCAAGAGCTGGGAGGGGCTGGTTGCTGACTGACTTCAGTGGTGCCACAACTTCAACCAAAAGGCAGCCCATTTTGAGGTAAAGTATCTTGCTCTTGAAGCAAAGAAGAGAATGGAGGAAGGAGTAGGAAAGAAATCCTAGCCTATGGCCCCTGTGGAAAGATCTGCAGCTTCTGAATTGTTCCCTTAAGTCATCTCTAGACCCATCAAATGAGCTATGGTAGAGATCATCCTTGAATCAAAGAATTGCCAAGGATGATTTATGAGGAAAGGCTGAAAGAACTAGGATTAAAATGAATACATTAATGTCTGCATAACATAGCGTTATGACAAAATAGGTAGTGGTTTGTCTTAAAACAACTAAGAATAAAATTAATCCATAAGAGGGAATATAAAAGGCATTGGTATACTTACGTTGTATCAAGAGTTTGGTTGATTTTAGAGATTATTCCTAAGGAAGGATCAATTTTGGCATACATTGTTGACATCACGCCCACCACTACAATAAGCCAACTGGATGGACTAGCAGGATACACACCAGTAATAATCCCATTCTGGAAAGACAAAAGCCCTCACTTAATTCTTCCATGCCAAAGTAATTTATTTCACATTACCAAGGAAAGCCTAAATACAATTGTATTGATTCAAGCAGCCTCATTCAAGCGGGCTGTGAGTGGCTGCAGCAGGGAGCGCTGGCCACGGGGCACGAGGGGGGGGCCACTTTTCCCCATGCTTAGCACCAGCTCGTTCCCTGCCCATGGTCCTCCCCTGACCTTCCCCACCCCCTTCTTACCTAAGTTTCCCGTGCCAGTGCAGCCATGAGGAGCCACATGGTCCCAGGCCAGAAGCCCCTGTGTGGGGCTTTTGGCGGGGCGGGGGGGGGGCTGCTGTTGCAGAAGCCTGCCGGGGCTTCTCCTGGGGCCTACTGCCCCCGGCTCCTGTCATCTTTGACAGGAAGCAAGGACAGATAAATATTAATTTTCTAAATTTTTTTAGGGGCCCTGTGGGCTGGACAGAATGGCCTAGTGGGCCAGATCCAGCCTGCAGACTGTATTTTGCACCCCCCACCCCCGAAATGGGCCAAGAAGTGCTTCACTTCAGCCTTCACACACATATTGTTTCCACAAAACATCCTTCAGTGTCAAATTCTTCACTTTCCCCTTAGCATTTTCACTAAAACGTTCAGCGTAAAGATGTTTTCCATATGTACTTCGACATTTAGTTTTAACCTATTTAAAATACCAAACAGATCCAGGATTATGTGAACAAACCTATAGAATTTCAGTACCTTGAATCTGATGAACTTTTTCTTCCAGGAATGAAGACCAGAGAGATAGACCTGCTTGAGAGCCTCGTGGCTCATTCGCAGGTCAATCCCATCTGGAGTTACTGTAAACTGAAATGCTACTGCTTGATGGGCTTCTGCCATTTTCAGAGTGTCCTGCCAAAGAAATAAATATTAAAAATAGTAAATTTATATATTCACATTCTGTATTCTAGAGGAACTATTAACTTGGAAGCTATTCCATTTTCAGCAAAATATCTCTTACTCCGTTTTAAAAAATATATATTTTTTTCTGAAATATCCTGGAAAGTGATGCCTATAATATGGTCTCGTTTCTCTTCCATGTGAACAATTTCAGACTTGTACTGTAAGGGAGCTTATACTAGATCATCTAACAGACCCCTTCTGTATGATATTCCCACATATAAATAAATCATCTTTTGGGAATACAGTGAAGGAAATGCTATACCATGATATATGTGAGAGATCTCCAAAAAAAGGAAACCAGGATAGGATATGTAAAACTGCAACAAGGTTAATGGCTCATAGTATGAACAAGCCTCCTTCTGTCTGTGACAGACAATAACAACCATGTTACCATCAATTTAGTGAGCCATGACCTGACCTTCCCCCTTTAAAGGCTGCTGGGTTACAGTGATCGGATCTTCAATTATAATGCATAATCTTCTCAGTCAGAATTCGGTCCTGCTAAATAGCGTTAAACTCCACCCAGCCTTGTTTACAAGGGCTTTAATTTGTTTCACGTAAGGTCGTTAGAGTTCCTAGAGGTGCAACGTATGAAAAAGGGTTTCAAGGAGACTGAAAGGTGTGGTAAGAACATGCAAAGTGATGATTGTATTTAAACTGAAACTTGGGGCACCTATACATGTGCTGGGGGGCTGGGAAGAGAAGAGGAGGGAGGCATTTTAATTAAAGTAGCTCTCGGAACCCACTCCAATTAAAATGCCCGAGTGCCTCGTGTATTCAGCATCCCATGTTTCAAAATGGTGGTGGGGTCACTTTAACTAAAGCTTATTTGATGAGCTTTAGTTAAAGCACCCCTGCTGCCACTTTGAAACACAGGGACACTGAATACACAAGACGCTGCAGAACACTAGGATGTCCTGATTAGATTAAATTAAATCTGGTCTGACGCCTTCTAATCAGAGCATGTGTAAAGTGCCCTTGGATACCATTTCTGGAAGAAATTGCAGATCTGATTGCTGCATCAACTTATTTTTCTAAAACCCAGCATAAAGATGGGTCAGTCCTGCAGCATGAAGCCCAATTTGATAGCTGCCATGAGGAAAATGATCTTCCTTGTAAGAATGTTAAGCTCACAGAAGCTGAGTAGTTCAAGAGTGGCTTTAATCAGCTTTGTCAGGCTCACATTAATACATTACCACCCAAGGGACATTAAACTGGACAAGGTTTGGAGGAGTATTAAAAAGATTAACACTCAATGAACTTTATGATAAAAGGACAAATGAAATATTTGCATATTGTGACATACTCGGTGGTAGACTAAATATACCTAGACAAGCTTTAAATTCAAAGGCTCTCTAAAGCACTGAAAGAAGGTCAATGGTAGTATACGTTTTATTCCAGCAGGATGTAGGGGCAGAGACTTACACAGAGTCTGTCTTTCACTCTGTCCCACTAACACTTCTCTAAAAGACAGAAAAAAATCTCTCAGACAGCTCAAGTCCTTTCCCATGTATACCCAACTTGGTTGTGTACACAAGGAGAAGTGATTTTTCAAGATAAAGGGCACAGTGGATAACTGCAGGAGCCAAACCATATCAATAGCATTAACCACAGTTCCCTGAGAAGTGGGCTGCAGAGGAATGGAAATTTGTACTAAAAAAAAAGAAAAAGAAAAAAAAGCGAGATTCACATTTGGGTTGGAAACATAATGTGTCTATATGCTCCTCTGAAATGCCCCCATCTTATTTACGTCACTCATTTTTTCCAGTAAGGCACATCTTTATATAACTATCTAGAAACCTGCTTGTGCTTACCTCTAGTTTACAAAGATGGGGCAGAGATGCACCTCATAAAAATCACTGAATTGGAGATGCATGGATAAGACCAAACCCACTTCATCAAAGCCGTGGAAGGATATGCACATAGCATACATCTTTGATTCAGTCTGTCTGTAAAGGTATGTCTCTACCCTGCCTCCTGCCTGACTTCAGACTAAGGGCCTCATTGCATGAAACACTTAGCACATGTTTTATTTAGATCACAGTAAGAATTACTGTGCTGCATTAAAAAGTCAGAACATGTTCTGAGTAGTCATATGCTAATGCTGACTATGATCTTTCAGCCCACATCTTTATATGCAGCTATGCTGCTGGTGGGCAGGCGGAGAAGGAGCTAAGCCAAGGAGTCTTGAACAGGTTCTGGTGAGGTCCTGGGGCCGAGACTGACAATCAGCTAATTGTCAGTCTCAGCCCTGGGACTTGCATGGGAGTTTCAAATAGGCTCCAGTCCCCAAGCACCTGCAGGATCCAGCAGGAGGGGTGGCACTTTCTCCCAGGCTCATTTCCATTTTCCTCCACCACCTGCCACCAAATTGCTCTTATTATCTCTGTGGAATGGTCAGATGATAGAATGCACGCGACTTCACATGATCTGGAGATACTTCTGTGAAAAGTCCTAATTTTGCTATAATACAAGTACACTTAGCACATGTTTTCCTGCTTGTATGCACTGACAATTGTGCTTTAAGTGCAGGCTAATTACCTCTCTATTTAACAAAGGCACTATTATCTGTACTCATACATTTGTTAAGAGCCTGTTTATAGATTACACAGAAATTAAGTCCAACCCACATATTCTGGTAGGGGCAATGGTCATTCTGGAGTCTCCTATACATGGTATGTTATGAATTCAGCTACAATGAATCCATTTAAAAATAACTGTTAAAAAAGTGGTGCCTGTTCAGACAGATGACAATGACGTGTAAAACACAAACCACTTCCTCATATACAAGTCAGCATCGCACATACTTTATAGTCCATCTTTTCCTGCTAGAACACAATATTGTCAAACACAAGCTACCAATATGGCACTAGCTTAAACATGAAATTTAAAAAACATTTAATTGAAATGATTTTTATTTCCCTCTGGCTTTTGGAGCTTGAAAGCTTGCATTCATATTTATTTTTGCAACCTTGAAGGCTAGAACCCTGCCTAACTTTCCCTCCTTCCCTCAGGATTGATGCACTTGGACGACTCCAGCCAGTTCTAGGGCTTATATGATTGCACACTCCAAGACCTTCAATAAAACTGACAAGAGAAAATAATGTGGAGGCAACAGATTTTACTAAGGGTGATAAGGAAATAATTCAGATGACATACAGCCACACATACACTTGCACACATATAATTGTACTAGATAAGTAAAGGATTTATAAATACATACCATTTTACTTTTGCTTAAATTAAAGTGTCAGCCTACGAGGCTGGTATCAAGTTTCTTCTCCTACAAGGACGGACTTGTTGTCCAGTTCACTCACACAGTGCATTTTTATCATGTTAGAAATATACTTAGCAGCAGAATAGTTTTTTTAGATAACATCCATTATATTAAACTGGTTTCCTTGGGACAAGGGAGGAGGGTTTATAACCTCTTTAAAGCTAGGCAGAAGACATCTTGCAGACTAATTTATATAGCTAGAAGGAAAGGTTGTCCTGAAATCCTTTTATATATGCCTTCTCATTGACCAGTGTCAAGTAACTGCAAACCGCTCAGCATCAACTATGAAAAACAAATTAGTTTAAAAGTTTAATGTTAATATCAAAGGGTTATATAAGGCATTTAATAGAATTGTCTCTAGCAAGTATCTATATGTTTCCACATGAGAAATCCTCTAATATCTATTCCACCCATAAGTAAAGACTGGATTAATTAAAAAGAAAAACAAATCAAAATAAAACCCCAAAGAAAGACACTGATGCAGTCAGAATCACCACTGGCAAGTGTAAATGAGTTCTGAAAATGAGGAAAATCTGCTGCCTGGATTAGCAGGCACGTTGAAAATCTAATAGCAATGGTTTTCTTTCACTGCTCCTTCCCTACACAAAGAAATACAGCCTTTCAGATAGAATTGCGGCTCTTATTTTGAGTTTTCAGAATAAAAAACCCCCAAAATTCTCCTTCCCCTTTCAACAGTTCTCTTTTCACCCCTTAAAAGCCACTTCAATAAGGATCTGGTCTGTATTTCCCTCCTCCACATTCTTGAGGCTGTCACGTGTTTGCCAGACAAAGTAGGTGAAAGGGGACAGGCCAACTGAGCATGCCTCTGATTTATATCAACTTGATTTGTGTTAAGTAACACAGAAACCACTTCAGTCATTCAGACCAAAAGGAAATAACTAATTTTAGCTGCAGACATCCTAGGCTAGGTACGGACATTCAAAAACCCTGAGGTGGAATCAATTTTAAGTTGCACGGTTTTCTGCAAGTGGAGTGGTTTAGATGGGTAGCAAGCAGAACACATAGAAAGGATGTGGACAAATTGAAGAGAGTCTAGCAGAGGGCAACAAAAATGGTAAGAGAGCTGGGGCACATGACTTCTGAGGAAAGACTGAGGGAACTGGGCTTATTTAGTCTAGAGAAGGGAAGACTGAGGGGGTAATTAATATGAAGGGAGTTTCGAAAGAGGATGGATCTGGCCTGTTCTCAGTGGTGGCAGATGACAGAACAAGGAGCAATGGTCTCAAGTTACAGGAAGGGCAGTTTAGATTAGAAATTTGGAAGATGTGGGGATGTGTATGGATAGAGAGATCAGAACCCCTCCATCCCACCTCAGTTAAATCTTACTGTAAAGTCTGCTTCATATGCTATCTTCACAGCTTTTGGACATTTACGTTACCATGACCAAGGCTTAATAATTAACTTGATATACCCATGACCCAAAGACCCTATGATTTTAGGATGTTAAATGTTTCACTTTTGATATCAAAACACATGCCAAACAATATAGGAAATCAGTGTCTCAGCTCTGGGAAATGTGGCATCGTGATTCCCCAACACAGGTCTATTACAGGATCGCCATTCACTTAAACAAGTGAATAAAAAAAAAGTCAGCTGGGGGTGGTAATGGATGTTTAAACAGGCTTGCAGGACACAGTGAAATAATTACTGC